GCAAAACCACAATTTGATAACCATCGTAAGAGGATTTTGTTGGGGAACATTATAGGATCGAGTTTTTCTTTTCATTTCAAGCCGAGATCTCTGCTTATTCTGGTCTCTGCTCTTCACTACAATCACAGCAGGCTCGGTGGCGCGCTTGTAGGATCGCAATTACTGTCACCCCACGTGCTGATTAAATGATAAACTACACACTTCCGGTTGTATCGAGTCCCCTTTTGTTGGCAGATTACTACGCCCGTGACAACCGAACGTGTCTGTTTCCTAGGACAGGGTCAGTCGATAGGTGGCTTGGGAATCATACTTTCCAAAACCACTGTGTATTGTAATCGATTGACAATTTTTGAAATTGATGAAGTGTATATTTGCTGTATTTGGAACACGCTTCATAGTTATTTTATTTTCCTATGAATATCTGTTCGACATGATGCGACCTAGAAACAGTTCTTACATGGTGTTCAATATGTTTAACTGTCGCTGTCAATAGCGCGTCCATAGTCTACTTCATATTTACTTATAGGATGGAAAGCTTTAACGATTTCTTATCTTTCAATAAACGTAGAGGTCAAGGTCATTGTCATATTAGGTGTTCTCAATAAATACATATTGATATCCATCCAGAGTCAGCCAAATAAATATATACTGTTTATTTTTTATTTTATAAAATTTCAGGAAAGTGTGATCGAAAGAACTTTGTATTTTTCTGGAGTACAGTATATACCATGCACGCATTTTTCTTGTATGAGATACATAGTTATTTCTTCGTTTCCCCATATGATTGAATGTACTTTCTGAATAACACCATCGCACCTTACCATACCACGAATGACATCTTAGACCGCATCATATTTTGCGCTAACAAAAAAAAAACTATATTGAAACCAAATTATCCAACAATATGACAACATGACTTATAAGGAAATTATTTATTTTGTTCTTTTCTTCTTTTCGATTCTCTGCGGGATGTTTCTTTTTATGTTCTGAAATTTTGCACACGATCCCGTCCTTTCTTTTTAGAAACACACATCCTAATGTTTTGAAAAGTCATCTATAGTCTCACCATATTCATTAGAAACACTTGTCAACGCAATTAACTTCTGTTACCATAAGTGATTAAGACAAACTAGCCCATGGTACAAATCAATCGTTAAGATTCTGGTCTCTCTCACAATGTACCACAAATGAGTAATGAAGAAAACCAGATGATTTTTACCCTAAATCGTCAATATTACTTGTGTTCCCAATATAGAATATCATACAATTGTTACATGTATCATTGTTGCCTCGTTAATTCTGGCTGATTTATGTTATTGATCTTTTATACTGCGACCGCAACAAATATACAGATCTATTCACATGGGAATGAAGACTTGTATGATTTATAATGTTTTTCGGATCAGATCAACTTAACTTTCATGATTTCTGCACCACAAGTCGGCAGCGATTAACGTTCGCGAAAAAGACCAGATCATACACAATACAAGTTATTTTTATATTCCCTATCTTCATTTGTGGAGATTAAACTCCGCGAAGGAAAGTTGGTTTGATTAAAGCATTTCAATGATTCAGCGAGATTTTACTGATAAATGGATGTGCTATGTCCCAAGATATTTTCCATGGCATTTTCTTGAATACCATCCCGACATGTTATTGTTACAGGTGCCATGCCTTTTGTTTGCGAACGTCCTTTGTTCTTTTGTGCAACATCAGCTTGCTATAGTTTAACAGTCAGTTTATTATACTTATCTTTCTTTTAGCATCTCTATGTATCTATATATCACGCAAACGCTGTCGTTTAAAAAACACAAAGGAAATATCATCGGTCGACAATTGTTAGCGGGACTGATTTAAATGAATATTCATTGCCCAGTATAAATGATAAATGGCCAGGTCCCTTGCCGGTAATTGGCATCTGGATGATACAGATATTTGTCTAACTGACACCACACAGTCCGCCCATGCACGATGCCGTTCTAGGAGGTGTTAAAAGGCATGATAACCATTTGTGTCCTAAGTAGCCTACTAATGAAAAGATCCACTAATTGTTCCCGCAGGATGTTCACTTCTTTATTTAATGATCTTCGTTCGTTTTGTATATTATGATGGCATTACCATTTCTTACTGAGAAATGTTAATGTGTTTGTAAGCGAGATCCGAGAGTCTGCTGCTCTCATCATTCTGTAATTTCAAATTGTCCGAAATGTTAATATATATTTAACTTTTATCGTTGTCCCTTTATCCTTTAGAATGATTTCACAACCAAATTAACGAAATTATTTTAGAATTTTTGAATTTTTTCCATTAAGTTTGCTTCTAATTTTCGAGCATCTTTATATATTGTTTCCTGCTGTAAATTACTCTGGAAATATTGTGTTTACAAGTAAATTGACACGAAATGTAGAAATAGTTAATGATTTGGTTTTATGTTGTTTAACAGCAATGGTCATTGAAGGACCTCCTTCACATAAAGACAAGATGAGTGCACATGTTAGGTGTAAACCTCCATGTGATAGTACAGAAATGACACGAAGGAATGCATACAACGATACGAGTGACACAACGTTTACACTGACACGAGTGATACAATGTTTACACTGACACGAGTGTTACAATGTTTACACTGACACGAGTGTTACAATGTTTACACTGACAAGAGTGTTACAATGTTTACACTGACACGAGTGTTACAATGTTTACACTGACACGAGTGTTACAATATTTACACTGACAAGAGTGATTACACTGACACGAGTGTTTACACTGACAAGAGTGTTACAATGTTTACACTGACACGAGTGTTACAATGTTTACACTGACAAGAGTGTTACAATGTTTACACTGACACGAGTGTTACAATGTTTACACTGACACGAGTGTTACAATATTTACACTGACAAGAGTGATACAATGTTTACACTGACAAGAGTGTTACAATGTTTACACTGACACGAGTGTTACAATGTTTACACTGACAAGAGTGTTACAATGTTTACACTGACACGAGTGATACAATGTTTACACTGACACGAGTGATACAATATTTACACTGACAGGAGTGATACAATGTTTACACTGACATTAGTCATATAATATTTACACTGACACGAATGATGAAATGTTTACTCATACTAGCCTATAGTAATTTATTAATTGAAGTAAAATCTAATCTATATGCTGCATTATTGAAGGCAAAACCGTTTTCCCGTCAAATTCAGAAAACAATAAACACTGAATATCAATGTCGTTGACTGAACAGCTACCTACATCATTTCGCATGTTTTACAGCATGGAGGGATTATTATCGAGTTGAGATATCAATGTTATCTCTCCGCTATAAACATCCACCTATATAGTTTATAGTGTATACGATCCTTGTTTAATCTGTATAATATCTTACCCTCCGAACTGCCGTCAATTGTGTCATAAAACACAGAAACCAATTTCTAGCTTATTGCCCCTGCTAAGTCATCATTAGCTCGCATATTATTTATGTAATTGGATTCGCAATAGTGTGAAATCACGACCTTTGACCTGTAATGCTTATGTTTGATCTCGGGAATTTACTACTACAACGGGGAGCATCTTGTTTCCTCAAAGACTGTTTCAAATTAATGAGTTAATGTAATATTGTAGTGTCCGACGCTGTAAGACATTGTTCCTGACTCATTTCGATACAGTTTCGGCTAAGTTGACAAATTATTGACCTGTTGTTATAATTGGTACTACTATACAAACGAGGCCTACTGTTAAGACTGGCATTGACATGAAATTACGATGGCGTTTCAAGTATAAAGGAAATGGAATCAGGCAGTCATGCGGTTCTACGGTCATATGTACCGGTCACGCGACTGTATCCACGTTCTCTATGTATATGTGTGCATTGATATACCTTTATTTTCCTGGTACAATACATGTTTATGTTTACCATTTTCCCTCTTTTTTCTAGTCTTGCAAAGTTTGATACATTTTGCTGCATGTACTATTATGCTATTTCATACAGATTTTTCTATACGTATTATTCAAACAATTGCACGATCTACCACTGTAAAACAAATATATAGTTAAAGAGGATTTTCATTCTGTCTGTAGGAGAATTATTCTGCGAGTTGCGCGTGGGAGTTTTTGTTTATGTACAATATGCACAACGATTGAACATATTATTGTATACTTTTATGACGATTAAGAATCTATCATTTACATTATATTCTGTATTCCAAGAACTGGATCGTAAACCATGTGTCTCTCTGACAAAGAACGAAGAAGTTGCTTTTGAACGTCGGATTTCAGTTGATGATGTCGTATCCTAAACAAGATTAAATATTATGCATATTCATCGTATTGGCTTTTTTTTTAAGTGTGTATGTTTTGCAATCGCAGAAATAGGTAGATATTTCTATACGATCGAAATGAACGTAATGAATTATCTACTATATCTTGCTGTTAATATCTAATAAATACAAAGTTCTTTAGTTACACGAAAAAACATCATTTCAAAGCAATTTGATTAACTGTAAGTATAATCCCCACAGGGAGCTAATACCTATATTTATATGATCAGATTCATTTTATATTGTAGAAAGATATCTTACACACAGATAAGTTGACATGTTCATCCAATTTTGAACAATCAACATCGATTTGATGAACATTCGTCCATCATCAACAATAATTCAATTTCAACCATTAACCGCAATCATCCATTCACTTGCTTTTAAGACGAATTCAAAATAATTTCAACGTTCAGTGTAAATTGATCCAAATGAATAATCTCTTCCGGTTATATTGAAAAGTTCAATCACGCAGACTGATACATTTCTAATCCAAACCACTAATGCCAGTGAGAATCATATTTGGTTCACTGTCACACAAGCGAATTGCTATGATTAATATATATTGATTCTATGAGAATTCTCAGTAATTGTCTGGATTTTAAAATGTAAAATGCGAAATAAAAACCGAATTATCTAATGTTACATAATATTTGTATATTTCAGGATTTTAAAGAAAGATGATGATGAAAAGGGATTCGCTAAATATGATGAATTGGACGAGGTATACTCGGAGGAAGAAGAAGGAAAATACACCGGAAGTAGATTCAATTTCAATTTCCGGTGTAATTGCTGTAAGACCTGTTCTTGTGGACAGCGATATGTGATAGCATTTCTTAGTAGCGTGGGATTTATCATATCTTTTGGTATAAGATGCAACATGGGGGTAGCTATAGTGACGATGACGAAAAACGGTTCAACTGAAGACAATCACCTTATACAGAGGAAACAACAGCTGGAACACATGGGCAACAACACGAACATGACGGTAATCATATTGTCTTTGTGATCAATATTACTATCTAGCTAGCTTCTTATTTTGTTTGAGAAGAATTGTTTGTTTTAAGATAAAAATGTTCTCGCTTTTCTCAACACAGTATTTAATTATTGGTTAGCTTAAACAAACAAAAATTCGATATTGTTGATGTAAGTAAGGAGTTTACCACAACGGTATGTGAACACAAGATCATCCAAGAAAAAAAAACATGATTATCACATTAAACCACGCCACCCCTCCCCCTCCCACCCGACCCCACATCTACAGACAGATTCTCTGTGAACACTCATCTAAAGGTCATACGTGACACAGTGTCCAGTTGTTTCGAAAGAAGATAAATTAATTGATTTCAAATATAGTCACCTATTATAAATCAAGAGAGGATGACAGCAGATACAATTCATACGCCCTACCTGCACTGCAGTGTGATTCACTCGTTTGTTTATCAGAATTATGAACTATTAACTAATGAATTTGGTTGGAAATTGTAATTTGTAGCATTTTTACCGACAGCTCTGACATAGATTGATCAGGCCTAGGAAATAAAAACATGTTATTGAAGTCAATTATGCCAGTTGAAGTTACCTCAGTGTAATCTATTTACATAGGATTGTTAGATCTCCTTACAAAGCTCGCAGCCTTTATGCGTCTGTCATTTGAAATCGTGACATGTATACAAACTGTTTTGATTAATATGACAATCGTAACTAGGTTCGCTTTTTGTTATGTTGTCCTTTGTCGACAATGACTGTCTTATAATTCATGAATTTAAATGTGTTTTTTTTTGAAAAACGTAATCTAAGGAGGAAGTACTTTCGACTTAACACAACAAATGAACCGAATCAATTTATTACATTGTAAGGAAGACATGTGTTGCTTTCGCTTGTTCTGAATATCTAGCGACTTTATTCCTAATCCTATGACTAACAATGTTAATAATAACATAAATCATATTGGTTAATATAGATTTTCTTCAGCACTCCGATAGTTTTATCTTCATTTCAAGCATTTATTTGTGGTCTTCCATTAATATAATTCTGATTTATTTTCGGTCATCTATTTATTAACCACATTCTACATTTCTCCAAATCTGTATGTTTATTTTATTTTCCATGAAGCCGTTCTGTTTGTCAACTATTTTCAGTATTAAGCCGTCCTGTGTATCAACTATTTTCAGTAATTAGCCGTTCTGTGTATGCACCGTTTTCAGTATTTACTACTGTTCTGTGTGTCAACCATTTTCTTCATTTAGGCGTTCTGTATGTCAACTATTTTCAGTAATTAGCCGTTCTGTGTGTAAACCTTGTTTATTCTTTATTTAGCGCTTCTGTGTTATTGATCATTTTCTGTATCTAGCCGTCCTGTGTATCAACCCTTTTATTTATCTAGCCGTTCTGTGTGTCAACCCTTTTCAGTAATTAGACGTTCTGTGTGTCAACCCTTTTCAGTAATTAGACGTTCTGTGTGTTAACCATTTTCAGTGTTTACTGCTGTTCTGTGTGTCAACCATTTTCAGTGTTTACTGCTGTTCTGTGTGTCAACCATTTTCAGTGTTTACTGCTGTTCTGTGTGTCAACCATTTTCAGTATTCAGTGCTGTTTTGTTTGTCAACCATTTTCAGTAATTAGCCGTTTTGTGTGTCAACCACTTTCAGTAATTAGCCGTTCTGTGTGTCAACCTTATCTGTCCTTCATTTAGCTCTTCTATGTATCGATCATTTTCGTTAGCCATTTCTATATATGGACTATTTTTTGTATTTATCCGTTCTGTATTTTAACCATCTTCTTCATTTAACCGTTCTGTGTGTCAAACATTTTCTTTATTTAGCTATTTCTATATATGGACAATTTTCTGTATTTAGCTGTCTATGTGTTAGCTATGCTCTGTATATTCCTTATTTAGTCCTTCCTTGTGTTAACAATATTTTTCAAAAGGTCATTTCTTGATGACTATATTGAAAGTTCACCATTCTGTATTTTCATCATATCCCTTCTTTACTGACCCTTTTTAGTGTGTCATCATCTTGGTCATCGGTGTGTTAACTTTGTTCTATAACTTGGAAGGTAGACTAGTCTGGTTGACCTGATTGTGTGGCATGGTTTCGTACACATTCACTTAATGTTCCTTTCGCTTCCTGTTTTTTTTAATCAAGCTATAGGGCTAGGGCCGATTTCGATCTTCTTCTGTCGACGTTTACTTTCAACAGTTTAGGTCATATTATCACTGGCGAGTCTTACAAGGACGATGCAGATTACCTGATCACTTGACTCCATGACGTCTTATTCTAGATGTGCATTAAAACTTATCCTTTTTTCTCTTGAACAGTACTTTGTTTTCTTTCTTCTTTTCTTCACTGATTTATTTGGGTCGCGGAGGTCAATATTTCAGTAATTTTTCAACATCATTTTGGTATCAGAATATATGACGTGTAATCCTTCGTTGTTTCGATGGTTTGATAGATGAATTAACATCTGCATCCTTGTTCAAAGCTTTGTTCAGAAAATGACAAAATGATGATGAAAATGGGATAAATCGTGATCAAAGCCACACGATTCTTTTAATATATTGTTTGTTGCCAGGCAATAGATGAGATAACTGCTTAACAGTGAATCTGCGTATAAAAGTCAGCATTGATAATAGATACGGAGATCACCCCACTGAAAGATAGGTTTTACAGGATAACAAGTGTGATAAATGATAGTTAATACTTCAATGAAATTTCCAAATTCAGTGACAGAATTTTTAAGTACTTATAGCGTTTGTCACCATCAAAGTGATTCATTTACAAATTACTCTCTAAACCAGAGTTATCATATTACATCATGCTGCCAATAAAACGATCATATATGAATGGAATTAAGTGCATACCATATCATTAGTCAGTCAACAGAGTACTTGAATGAACAGATATTACAACATGTCGCCAGTGAAACGATCATATATGAATGGAATTAAGTGCATACCATATCATTAGTCAGTCATCAGATTACTTGCATGAACAGCTAGAATAACGTGTCTATAGTCCTGATAACTGTCTACGACAATGTCAGTTCAAATGTTCATAACTTTTTTGTATTATTATCATGTATCGATTTTCAATAACCTTTTGGTCCACTAATGGCCCCGTACAGCCCCGACACTAATGTACACGGCGCGTCCAATGTAAATTTGTCCATTTCATTATTTAATCAATAATTGTCGATACGGTTACATTATCATCTTCATATATATATATATGGTGCTGAACAATCACTGCTAATTCTCGGATGTTTAATTTTCCTTCCAATTACTCCCAATTCATACCTCGGAGTGTTAGGATGATTCAGCTGCTTACAAAACGTCAGTGTAGTCCCTGATGTTGATGCAATATACAGGACATAAAACAAACGTGCAGCAAGACTTATACACGAATATTAAACTTATGCAATCAAAGACTTGATACTTCACTTAACTCAGAACCCCTTCTAACTCAGGCCTAGACTACTTGAAATATATTTACCTGTGTTTCCGATATCTTCTTGTTTTGGGTTAAATATCTGTTTTTATAAAAACGTGAATTCCTCTTGACTCAGAACCCGACAATGCATGATGTAGATATTTCAATCACAATTACATCATGTTGTGTTATCGTGTTACAACAATGACAACACAGGGTGTATGTATGCATGATTAAGTACATTATTGCATTATTCTCCCTAATCAATGAAAAACATCGTATGAATGAAGTTTCATGTTCAATTATATGTTTCTGTTTCCATTGTAGATACCACCTCAGCTTCCGGAGTTTAACTGGACCCCGGAGACGATCGGAGTAGTTGACAGCTCCTTTTTCTGGGGCTATATTGTAACACAAATACCTGGAGGCTACCTCGCATCCAGAGTTCCTGCCAACAGGTGAGCTCATTATGTCACAGATACAACAACCCATAGAAAAAGACATACTTAGAAAGATAACGCCAAAAGGGCACAGAAAGTACTTCATTCCTTTTTATTTATTCAAATGTTTTCAATGTCAGAAAATCTCTAACACTGTTATGCAGAATCTAATCTTAAATAATCATTTAACTGGATAATCGCTATGTTTTCTAGGAATCCGGGAAACTGACCGTAGATTGAAACTGTTCTTTTATATCGTGTTTCATATGTATGCATGAAGAATTTCCATTACTATACTTACAAGCTTTTGAATTTTGATTTTTATGTTGAAGGAAATATTATTTTTATACAAACTTTATCGTGACTTGACGACACATGATTAGACTCGTGTAATGGGAGCAAATTCTTCCTAGGTTAGCTAGGGAGGGGGTTTCGTGTTTCCAAGCTTTCTATTATAAAACTTGATGTTGTTTTCTTACCATGATGTGTTGTCACATTTGATTGGTTCGTTGTGCGATATGTACTTGTATATTGTTTAAAGCACACATACCGATTATAGAATAGGCCCTGTAAGGTAGGTTATCACTGCTACTTCACAACCTGGTATCAGGGCTAAAGGTATGTGGGTAAGGTTTTGGAGCCTATGGTGGTGGTGGGGCGTTGTCATAACCGCTTGTATTGCTGCTGTGTTTAAGGATTTAATATTTCTGGAAGTAATGCTAATTGATTGATCAACCAATTTTCTGATAATCGAGCCCCATGTGAATTACTTGTATGTCACTATGGATGGTATATATGTTTTGTAACTGCTCTATCGCTATTATTATAATTGTAATTATTCCTTTTTAGTCTTTGATATAAAAAAGTAGACCATTGCTTAATATTCTTTTATAATTAATTCTTGAAACATGGATTTCTCATTGCCCAAGCAAACAAATTATATCATCATCTGACCACGTAAGTCAGAACATCGTTTTATGAGTACCATACAATTATTGAAAGTGAATATTCCTTGGGAAAAGTAATGATTTCCAAACGGAAATGTTCCCTTTAAGAAAGAAGTAATAATTAGTATTTTATTATATTAAAGTCATAACATTAAGTTATAATATATAACAGCAATAATTAATGATACATCACGATATAGATACACCACGGCTTATTCATATCTACCACAGAATAATACTTCCGGAACATCTTATGAATAATATTAGAAATGTTCTTATTTTCATGCTCTCTCTCTCTCTGCCCCGCTCTCTCTGCCCCCTTCTCTCTCTCTCTGCCCCACTTCTCTCTCTCTCTCTCTCTCTCTCTCTCTCTCTCTGCCCCCCTCTCTCTCTCTGCCCCCTTCTCTCTCTCTCTCTCTCTCTCTCTGCCCCCTTCTCTCTCTCTCTCTCTGCCCCCTTCTCCCTCTCTCTCTCTGTTTTATATGAATAATCACTATATGACTATATGAAACTACTATATGGTGCAATGGTATCTCTTATTGCCTCTACTGTATCTAATTATATATTTAGATTAAAAACGCTTATTTTGTACACTTCTTTGTGTGCTAAAGGGTACTTTAAGATAGCTATCTGTCCTGGGGCTATGCAAGCATGTTCTTTTGAATCATCTTTGACGATGAAGAAGATTCTATTTTGATAGCAAAAGCTCAATAAAATTACAGATCTGTTCTAGTCACTGTAACGGTTATCGATTGCTCGACGTAAAAGAACTTTCAAAACACTACAGATTTATTCTGATAATCTTATGTTCTTAAATATTAAAATGAATCTTTTTTCAATTGTAAAGATAAGTAAGGTTGTGTGACGTAAGTATCCCCAGGACACAAATTATCTATCGATAGATCGATAAACAGTTGTGTTTATCTGTACATCCTTAAATATGTGTCTATATGTAAGGCATGAATGGTGATAAAAAGAGGATGCATGCATAAAATTGGAATTATGTGTTTTATTTAACGAAATATTTCGTACATGTTTTTGATGGTGGAACAAAATAGAACATGAGATCATATAAATAGTAGTTACTGATATGGTGCATTGAATGTCTTTCCCTTACTCAAAACACATAGTCATTGAATTTCATTTAATATAATTTTATTTTAGTTGTTCAGGCCTCCGTTTTCATTGCATCGGATTTATGTTGCATTGTATCCGTTGAAAATTACATCGTCCTTACAAGCTAACTAAACGATGAAATCAAACTGCATATTGCATAAAAAAAATCTCTAATGCTGTATTCAAATTATCTCGCGTTATATTCCTTTCTCTTCATTTTGTATTAATTCTTCGTCGACGTATGTCAAAAGGCATATCCATTGTTTCAATTCCCAAACGTGTATTTTACTTGTATTTGTTCGAAATCCCTTCACGAGTTATAACATTTCACTGGTGTCACATCATGTTTCCATTTATTTGTATGTAATTCATTCCTATCGCTTTCGATGTGAAATTCTATTCATTTTGTACCAGATACTCCACTCTCGTTTGCCTAATTGACATGTTTCATATCAAATTGCATCCATTATTGATTAGTAAACATCAAATTCGTTTTAATATGAAGGGAGTAATATATGTTGTGTCAAATATCCTCAGCATTTTACCCAATCTAATCCCATTGACTTCATAAATATCAAATAAACGTATTTCTTTCTGTAAATATATATAACCACTAATGCTAATTACATGTAAATGTAACAAAAAGAATATTAGTGAAAACTAAAAAAAAATGTATTTTTCATTAATATTTAATGAATGGTTTATACGCCAAAAGCGCAATCAATCAGTTTGCAAGTATATTTTTCATTCATGCCAGCATGACACTAACAATATTCATACCAAAGCTTATCTATTGAGGTAAACAATGAAAAAGGAGTAGATCATGACAATGGGAACTCGTTAAGATAAAATTAAAGTATTAATCTGTACACGATTATCAAGAGATAATAGATAATAGTGGTTTGCATCACAACCAAACACCTATTTGTGAAATAATGTATAATGTTGTTCAAACTATTTGTTTAATAAATCTACACAGACAAGTCCTTGGTACACAACCGTTGCTTAGCAATCTATAAACATCGCGTGTGTATGGGTATACAGTGCAATGCTTCTAAAGTAATGAGGTGGCTCTGTATACATATCAAGAGAAATCTGCTCCGGAAATTAAGAAATCGAATTTCGTTGGAAAAGCGTTTTATCTAAAATAGAAAAACATTTTCTGAACATATTTTATATTGCACATTTAATATACATATCATTGTATATTTAATTGTTACTGATCTCTGTGATTCTGTTTATGTAACAAGTAATTTGTTGAATTTAAAGAAGTAATTTAAATTACATCTATCAATTTTGTTTTATTTCACAATTTTTCATTCACTTTTGTGGTAAGATTATTAAATGCCACTTAATTTGTGAAAATAAAAGTTTGCGTGTATTGGGGGAAGAGGAGGGGGTAAACATTGATATCTATCTATTTATATATTGATATCCAATGCGCAATGTGCCGTTTTCATTTTCGCATGGAACAAACATAGCGATGTAAAGGAAAACCTTGTATCTGCTGCTTTAGAAGGATTAAATAAAGATATAATCAAATATAATGCTGTACAATAAAAAGTAGCTTTACAATGTGAATTCTAAATAGATGATTAAATAAGGTATATACAAAGTTATAATTTCATTATTTTTATCATTCGGTTCTTAAAAACCATGAACGTCTGAATAAGATAGACAGGCCTGTTAAAGTCATGAAATTGTTCATAATAAGGAAGCAAATCTATCGTTTGGAAAAATAGACAGTGTTTGTTGATGTTTCACGCCGTCCAATAACCACAAACATTGTTTTACAGGATATTTGGTCTGGCTATAGGGCTTTCTGCTTTCCTGAATCTCCTGTTGCCTGGAGCTGCTCAAGTTCACTATGGACTCGTCATGGCGGTCAGAATCCTACAGGGACTCGTAGAGGTAAGATATTAATATTTGTCTAAAATTATTTAATCATAATATACTGGAGGAGTTGGATTTGCCCAAATTCTAATACATTAACGTGCATTTTGTTTACTATTGATAACACTTTATGTGTCATATACACGTTTGAAATGGTCATTATTCGCCATTGTCAGTGGTTTACATTGATACCATTGTAGCTCAACGCATAACTATCATACACACACTTGGCTGCTAACATAGCGTGTTCAGCCTACACAGGATAATCACGGAGTCTTTCTCCCCAATACAGATCAAGTAAATATTTAATGATCCAAGGAGCAAAGAGATGAATTAACGTAATTATTTATTTCCTTTGTCGGACAGGTTGATTAAATGAGCGTCTATCGACGGAGTTAGGTGTGCTCGCCCTAGTGTTAGGAATTGAGGGTATAAAATGCAACGTGTTCGTTGAATTGTTCAGGTTTTATAGAAAAGGGTGTCAAATGAAAATGGAAATCATGAGGTAGACGACCTAATCGGAAGCATGTAAGGATGTTTAAGACAAGTCCCGTTGCGCACGGATGTGCACTTGAGGTTAAACGTCTCTTAACACCGACAACAAAAATATATCAGTATACCCCGCCGTCGATTACAAAATAAATCATTCCATGATGTTACTCAGAGATGGAAATATTTTTTGCCTTAATTAGCCATCAAAAGACAATATGCGTATACGACTCGATGTTTTGAGCATAGACAGTGCATATCACTGGTAATATACAACGGAATTCCGAAAAAAAGTGTCCTTTACTAACGGGGTTACTATCGTGGTGTTTCTCGTCAACGTGTTGGAAGTATATACATATAAATCATTTTGGTTACAAAATTAGATAGTAATTACATCGGTGCCTTTATTGGAAATAAAGACAATAAACCATGTTGAGAACAAAGAATGTTTACAAATACATCACATTTATCTGTGTAACATTCATTTCAAGTCGTTGACGTGATATTAGAGACGGTCAGGAACTAATCCCAATAGCATAAGATGTGTGGATTATATACGGTCTCTCAGAGGTTGATCACTTGTATTGGCAACGAAGAGCCAATGCATTCCGCTACATTCAATCAATTACCGATATGGTTCATTTTCTACGATAACCATGTCAGTAAGAAAATTAATACCGAGATGGTAGTAGGCCCAGAGCCCCTTCGCGTCACTCTTGAAAGACAATATTGCACCAGAATGGAAGATCCAAGATTGCCTCACGGTGGACAGTTCAAGTCCACAGTCAATCTCTCTCCGCACTTAATATCTTAGCGCCGATAGGGACAGAAGTCACATCAGATTGCTTTGTGACAGGAAGATGAGGACAATTCAATTGAAGTTTTGTCTGCCGCGAAAGAATGATGAGTACTAAGGTCGGTTCGTGTCAGCAGAGTGTAGGGATATCTACAGCTTCGTATAATACACTTTTCAACAGCCAATGACATTTTCTATTTATATAAATATGGTAGACTATTTATCTTGTCAATACCTTCCTGATAATATTTTCGGTCACAGAGAAGATTTCAAATAATTTAAGATTAATGCATTCGAGGCACAAAACCTCAGACGGTCTTTGTCATTTTCTTGACAGCATATTTACGCGAAAGCTTCTGCTACTGACATCGCTTGTCGCCGGTACAATACCAATCTGATTTGTTATTGGTAGATGGTATTTACAATCACCAGGAGATGACACCTATCGCTTATCCAGCCAAGCAATCGTCAGCTTTCTTTTCGTATTATAATTAAAACAAATCTCTGATCAGCTCAATTAAAATGCACCGGTAATCTAGTTACACCATATACAACTGAACTATGTCGTGGCTTTTAGCACAGCAATATACATACAAGACAAAAATGTAAACTGAAATTAGTTTAAAATGTTAGTGTCTAAAATTGATTAAATACTGATGATTTCCCTGTCTGTACTGGTTGTATAGTGTTACATAATAATGTCGTTATGGTCATGACGATGAATTAGACATTAAACACATTATCAAAACAGGTCCCATGGATTGGAATTTCATATAATATATATATATATATATATATATATATATATATATATAATTTTAATTTGTACTAGTGTTTACGTGAAAATGATATTTTGAAAAGTATTTATTTTCAATTTGAACTAAATTCTTTTCAAAATATGACCGTTAATAGCAAAAGACGAATTTTGTTTGTAGAGAGTTTTTGTACTGTCGTTCTTGCAACATGTTATTTATAAATGTGTGTCGTTCTTTGACCGAGATATTTTCCTCTGCAAAATTGCATTATTGTTTCAGGTTTTTTGTTTTTGTTTCGTTACTTTCCTAAAAGGTCATAATCGCATTTTAAATCTTTTCTGAAGAGATGATATATAATTAAACTTGCAGTACGTATGAAATGATGAAAGAATTTTATCCAATTTGATTTTGGGCGTATAGTCTAATTCTCTGCTGTTCTGATAAAACATTCCTATTATTCAGTTTAATCTTATTACACACCGCAAACAAAATCACTTCAGTCAGTACACATAAATGGAATCGTACGAAGATTGAATGTAAAAACAACAGTTACACACATGTATGTTCCTTCCTTCTTTACGATAACCATTCTAGGAAATGATATTTTAGAGCAGTTTCTGTTACTCTGATAGGTACGAATATTAATACATTAAATTTATTTCTAATACTTCCACTTTCATCACTTTCTTCAGTTCGATGGTTTCTTGTACCATCATTGTCCTACAGAACAGATACAAAACATTCCTGTTCGGTATGACGTGGTATTACAAAGCATGTTTTAATTTTCCATACCAAGAGAATATTGATTTTCATGTATTATATGTTCATTTCTTACATAAATATATTTGAATTTTGCGTGACAAGTGTCCGTTTATTTCATGCAGCGATATTCCAGGTGTATTTCCAACTATAAATCGATGCAATCAGGAAATAGTCGAGGCAATGGAAACCGATACAAGTTTAATTAGGCCATAGCTCGTGACATTTGTTTTATGGGTAATGTCAATACCTGTTTAATAATCAGGCGCACCAGCTATCAAATCACGTTATAAAACTATAATGAAGAGGAAACGTCCTTAAAAAGGCAATTATTGGATTTCGATATTCACCTGGTGAACGTTGCATCATTGTAGGATGTGCTCGTCCGACTCCGAAGTAGGCAACACTGCAACAGATAAGACAGGCCAGATTGCCACTCAACACTTATCTTCAATATGTTTTCTGTTAGACGTTTCCGATATATTGTCAATGGTTTCATAAGGCCGAGTTCAATCTACTCCATTGATTATCATTACATGTTAATACTGACCGGTAAAATGAATTTCTTTTTAATATTTCAACGCAAAATTTAACTTTGTGATAAATCAAATGTATCGATTGTTGATATGCCTCATTTTTAAACATCTATGTAAAGTATAATCAGTTCTTGATCAGTCGCACACGAATGGCACTGTTAAAACATCCACCAGTATACTGTGCTAATGATGATGATTATTTCCGCACTTTCATTACTATACTTAGTTTTTTTTATTATAATTATTAAAATCTATATATTTTTTTAAATATTGTTATAGTTTTTTTTTCTGATGTAAACACGCCTGCCTTGAAAGCATTGTTCTTAACTTAATAAGTTACAACGTTTTCAGAGAGCACGGGCTAATTGCCTTTACACATCATACCTGAAGTTCGTCCTAAATAGCATATGGTTGAATGTGTGATATGTGTTAATTACAGGGTGTTACCTACCCCGCCTGTCACGGTATCTGGAGGCACTGGGCCCCACCACTAGAGAGATCCAAGCTGGCTACTATATCATTCTGCGGTATGTCCAAATTGTTACTAATGATAAGTTTGAAAACAAAATATCCGTCGCATCAGTGATGAGTAATAGAATAACCAAGATACTATGCGATGTAATTTAATTCAATAATTTGTTACGATGTATCTGAAAATTTCTGATACAGTAATCTGAAATTTTCTATTAAGTTGTGTATCTTTTGTACAATTCTTTATACCACGAAGCCCACATTCTGCTGCAGCAACATGTAAAATGTTAACCTTTTGTCAACGGACTTGATTCTGCATAGGGACCTACCAGCTTAATCTCACATGTTGATCACATATGAGTGCCGTTGTACAAGCATGCAGTTCTATTATAACGGACAATATTTTGTTTTGATTTAAATACATTTTTTTCTAACATGTTTTATCTACCATGATCTTCTATTCCTCTCGACGCATTCCTATTTTGAGATTAACTGCCCTTATTATAGGTTCGTACGCCGGGGCGGTTCTTGGGATGCCACTTTCCGGAATACTCACGAAACAGTTTGGATGGCAATCCGGTTTCTACGTGTTTGGTGAGATTTGTTAAAAGTTACATGATAGTAATTGTTTACTGTTTCCAGATCTTGTATACAGTCAGTATGACTATATTTTAGGTCACAGATAAATGGGATTTTACTTGTTACTTATATTTACATTAATTTATATATCGTTTTTATAATCTTAAACAAAAACCTCCCGCTTAACCAAATGCATATACCAGGAAGCTCGAATTATAGAACAGCTGAAATAATAAAGTTCCTTTTGACACCAAACAACAATGGTGTCAAATTATATGAGAACAAATTCAATCTGATTTTTCAGAGATAAAAGTGTAAACTAGACTTAATTGTTTATGAGTTAACGTTTTTTCTCCTCTTTGAACTAAGAGCAGCGTATTGCACATTGACATCTCTCAATAAGATCTTCGGAATATTTACGTTGTCATGTCATAGAGTGGTAGATGTGATTTTCACAATAGAATGACCATGAAAATTGTAAATAAAATTCGCTCATTTCATGTGTGGACTGTCGGGTCAATGTCTAGTAGACAACGTTGACAAACTTGGTAGTATTATATGTTATGGCGATAACAAGGAATTCGTGTCAAATTATGTGTTTGACAATAGATTTGTTGATTTATTATGCCATAGCTTCTTAAGTAACCTTTGTTTTTAGTGAAGTCATCTTTCTAAAAGTCAAATAACGTCTGGTATGTCTGTGTATTGATACCAAAAGTGGCTGGTGGCCATATTTCTTTACATGGGAGACATCTATTTGTATTTGGTGTACTAATGATATAAAGGCGAACACACCATATTTTTTAGTAACGGCGGTAACTTGGAAACCTCAGCCAACGCAAGTCCCAAATGACATAATTAACAAAGCGATACACATGCGATAGTAAAGATATGATGTTTAAAGGATGCGGTATACTTCATGTTTTTAGCATCTCTCTAATTTGATTGTTGCAGGTGCGCTTGGGATCATCTGGTCGATTATTTGGTGGTTTTTCTCATTCGAAAGACCGTCTAAAAGTCCATATATTTCAACTGAAGAAAAGATATATATAGAAACTTCGATAGGTGAAACTTCATCGTCAAAGGTGAGATTTTCTTATCATTTAATAACTGAAAATGAACACATTTTTTCTACTTTTGCTATCTGCCAAACTATATTTTGTTATCGTCTGATAAAACTAGACATGAAAAACGTTACATGATACGAAATAAAAACATGCTTCTCGACGATCCATTTATATTCGAAATCGATCATATGTGAACCAGACTCTTCTCTTTTATCTTATCATTGTCTGAAAAGTGTTGGTATGCCTGTCAGTTCTATTTACCATGGAACTAAATGAATTATATATTATTATATAGAATCGAGAAATTTCCACAATCTGATATAATGTTTGTATACAGTCCGATCTAAGCAGTGCCAGATTTGCCAGTTGTAGACATTTAGGTGGAATGACTTTCCAAATGGGATCCAACTGATTTGATAGGTCGAAAGTGCACTTTACTCTTTAAAAACAAGTCTAGTCAATAATTAGATTTTCCCTCATCCCGAATACGCCGTGCCCCTTTGTTGCTTAATGGCTTTCCCTGTGCCATATTGATTAAGCATTAGCCTCTATATGCTTTCAAACTTTGCGCACATTAACTTTAGGTTCGAAAACAGATCGGCAAACCAACCAGAGGGATCATTTAATCATTTAATAGAATTGGATTTTCTTTCACGAAGAACTCTACCTATTGAGAGCTACAGACATGAAACAATAGTCGTGTCCTGTGTTTCCTCTCCGACGACTTTTCTATTTGACAGGATTACGCCCATAAGACGAATCAAATAACTTTAAGCCTCGTCTCTTATACAGGAACGTTATCTGTGTTAGAAAAATCTTTTCCGGAGACTTTTTAATAACAGGTTATGTTCTTGTATATCTTTTCCTGTTACCTCACATTAGAATAATGTGTTTTAGCAGTGTTCCATCGGAAATACACGAGTGATACTTTCGACTCGGTCAGATTTACATGATAATGCTCTAAGACAAATGGATCACCTTCTCAACTCATTGAATACTTTCACTAATGAATCAGTATTTGATAAGGAGATCACATTATTTCATGAATGTCCAACAGACATAACACTCATATCAATAAAACCAGTTAAAACATACACATGAATGAACGCAACATTGTTCATTAGGTCTTCACGACATACATCGTAAGACGATATCAAATAAAAATTGTTCAATACATATATTAGGTTTTATACAGTATGAAATTCATAATAACTTTAAGTATGTGTTTGCGATGATACCTTTATTTATAATTTAATGAATAAAATTTGTACAATTTTCATAAAATGAATGTAAAAGTAAATAGTGATTTTAAATGTATTAAAAGCTGAAAACAAAAAAGGTGAAAAATTCGGAATATATAAATATTAAGAGGAGAAAACGAAGGGAAATATTTAATCAATCTGATATTTTAGAACATTTCTCGGATATTACAAATTTATATAAAATTGTCATCTGAATGTGTATCGTGTTTGGTCACATTGAATTAGTTGTGAAATATTTCAAAATCTCCCGTCTGACATCAGAATAGTTGGCGTAATTATGTTGCTATCTCATCAAATCATATTTTATTTTGGCGGGGATAAGAGTACATACTGTGTCTACTGACCCTAGCCGCAGCCGCCTAACTTTCCAGTCGTTAATGAATTTCAATTTCGTTGGGTTGTGAATCGAAGAATTCTCTGTCTATCCATCAAATAATGCTTGTGTAGAGTATGAATTGATTAAGGGGCTACTGGTCTTTCTATGACCAGAGTGATATCCCTTCAGCATAGATTGTTCCAATGTTTTGTAGAGTTTACATATATCAAGAACTGTGATATTTCTCGTCAGTTAATGCTGTTTTGTATTTTTGTAGGATATGAGTACACCGTGGTTCAGCTTCTTCACCTCCATGCCCGTGTACGCCATTATAGTAGCCAACTTCTGTCGTAGCTGGACATTCTATCTCCTCATTATTAGTCAGCCAATGTATTTTAACGAAGTTTTTAAGTTTGATATCACAAAGGTAAGATTGATTAGATTATACTTGTTCTATAATGTTTTATTCACAGTGTAGAAGTCATTCAGGTCGAGTAACCCAATGGTTTACTTTATCTGATTAAGAATCAATAGAAATAACGAATAGATTCAAAATTGGATTTTAATGAAACCTCAATTATTTTCTGTAGAATTCTGGTAGTAGCATAAGTGGTTGAGTTCATGCCGATCTAATCAACAATTGGCATTAAAACTTATCACCAATGTATTTATCATACAACCTAACAACGTATCCATACAGGCAGATTTCTGTTCATACAATTTGTTCATTATGTGAGAGTACATTGCCTTTATTAATGGAGACTTGTTGTTTATACTTTGTCAAACCTCATTCAAACACATTCTATATAAGCCGATGACACCTCCGATAATTACGAAGAAAATTTCCATTTCGTGTTGTCAATACATTTTCTTTCATTTCTTTAATTTTCAAACGTATCAATTATCAGATAATGTTTCTTGGCGTTATTGAGTTCTAGCGATGGTGTTACATAACGGGTATCACCACTATGTTCTTGCCTTTAATTACAACGATTGGATTAATGATATAACGCCTACACCATATAAACATGTGTAAGGCTAAAACTTGGCTTTAAAGCACTAAAGATGTTTGCTCTCATTAAGCATGGCATCTACGTCAGCACAAAACATACCAGTGAAATATACATTGTCTGTAGTAATGTTTCTATGATTAGATGGTTAAATGGCGAATTAATTCTTGAACAAAATGGTCTTTAAATACAGTTTGTTTTTGGAAAAGCATGTGTGAAAAGATATTCGTATCTTACTTCAGGCAAAGTGTGGTGTTATATCTAGTTAATCTGAAACTGTGTCATTATTAGATCTACATAACAGAGGTGTAAGTTATCGTTACAGCAAATGTTGATATGCAATTCATGAATTACACCGAACTGTCGGTATTTGATTAAATGTATGCAAATATCGATTTCCAATTACAGTAGTTACTGTTGAAGTCATATTTATATACAATATCAAATAACAAATGCAATTTGAAGGTATATTCATATTTTTGTAATTCAATACGAAGCATACCTGTATCCCTGGTAATATTTTCATGAGAGTTTGAAAGTCAACTCTCTTTATTGTTGTTAAAAGTAAAAGAGTATGAAAATCATAAGCACGACGTTGCATTATTTTCCTGCACTTTTATTATAATTAGAATATACTCACTTTAAAAACGATATTCTAAACAGCGTGGTTCGAGTTGTTCCTTAAATCTGTATCTGCTTCATGAATCTCCAAAATCTATGAATACCTCATGTTTTAGTAAATTAAATCAATGCGCAACACTGTTTTATGGGCACTATGTCCCGTTGAGAAAATGCACCAAGAAAGGAAAGATTAAAAGCAATGTATTGGATTGCTGTCGTACAATATTTAGTTGATAATAATGTTCCTATTCATAGACATGGGGTCTAGTTAACTTCATATCTATCATTCTTTGACTGTTCCAGAGCGGATTAATATCAGCTTTACCGCATTTAGTGATGGCCATAATTGTTCCGTTTGGTGGACAACTTGCTGACTTCCTTCGTCGACGAGGCATTCTCTCGACTACCGTGGTCCGCAAAATCTTCAACTGCGGAGGTAGGACGCTCTCATTTTACTTTCATAGAACTCCAAATAAAAGGATGGAACTTTAATAAACACTGGTTTCGTACAATTCTTTGGTATATCTACTGGATATTTTGTTTCTGTATAACATCCCCAGCAGAACATATCTCGCCATTTTATTGCCTTTACTATACTGTCCATCACGGGTTACATTATGGTTACTTACTATCACCCAGTCTTTTTAAGACACTTATATTTTGTGTTTGTCTTACAGGATTTGGGTTGGAGGCTTGCTTCCTCTTAGGAGTGGGTATTACCAGGAATACAACTACAGCCATGGTTTGTCTCACCCTTGCTGTTGGCTCCAGCGGATTTGCGATATCTGGTAAGTTAACTAGACACGTGGCGACATGTCGACTTTCTGCATTTCAAGGGTAAAGATTATTCAGAACTGATTTGTAATAAAAAAACATCACACGAAGTTTAATGTTTTGCTTAGCAAGGTAAATTTAGGACCCGCTCACAAAAACAAGCGTTTAATAGGACATACTGATAGGTAAATGCGAAACAAGGTATAACTGTCAAGGTCACTTTCTCTCTCGCTATGGAAGTTCACGTCTAACCCCTTTTCATAACTTCCAAAACAAACATCTGTTCAATGAAAACGTACAAATTGAAACGTGTGAATAGGACAAAGTGGGGGATAGATATAAAAGAAACGTGAGTGACAGTTCTAGTCTTTATTTCATATTTAGATTGTTCATCTGGTTATATTAGTAATAAGAACACGAGGAAGTATCCTTATGATACTTGGTTTTATTATTGGTTCAAATATATTGATTAAAAAAGTCATGGTATGGGAGGTTTCCATCGATTCTCCTTAAAATACGTGAAAAAAGAAAACGATAAAATTCAGTATGCTGACTATAAAGTGGTTTATTCACAACATCAAGTGTGAAAAGATATTGGTACTAATCAAGATATCTATTTATAGTTAAGCTGTACATTATATATGTATGTATGTACGACAAGATAAAAATAGATATTCTTTTTCTTACTAAAAAAATACTTCATACATATATGTGCATGTAAACCATTGAACGATCCTTCCATGCGTTCTCAAAATGAATAGGATGTGATAACTTCACAGCAAAACATATTCAAATGTAATACAATACTGATATTCATACAGCACGAAATCTCAGAATATTGTGAATTATTTGGTATCCTTCCAGAACACATTGATTTCCTTTCCTGTAAAGATTCTACTCCAGTTGTTTATATTTTGCATTCGTTTTACAGATTTGTGTTAGAATCATATTTGCATTTAAGGTGATATTTTCTTGTTCTCCCTGTCCTCTGCTCCCTTTGTATTCCTTGATTAAGGCTTCGATTTTTTCATGATTACGGCTATATGTTTTCCTATATACGTACAACATATAACCAAATGTCATTAGAAGATCCAGCCGTCCTTAAACATGTCTTGTCGATATCTATTCAGACGTCCTGGATGGATTATTCTCAGAACTTGTTAGTAGGTTCCCCTTGTTTTCTTGCTGTGAGGTTTCTATTTTTATGATAGAGCAGATACATAAAACAGCCAGCAGATAGCCATCTTGGATTGTTATAATTATAGCTTGTAACTTCGTTTCTGCAGAAGTGCCAAATAGATCATTCTTAGATTTCGTGTGTATATCCCCTGTATTTTTTTCTTTGTGCTTTGTACATTTTTGATAATTTCAGCTTTATTTTTTATTTCTAAAGAAGTTCCAAAAATATTATTCTCAAATTTCATATGTATGTATGATTCCCTGGTTCCTATTTGTGATATAACCATTTAAGGATTAATCGGAAAAGCGTGAAGGCCGAGGGATAGTTATTTTGAATTTTAACAGTTTTAGTTGTCATGTTTTTTAAGTACTCAGGTCTTTCTCACATTATATATATAGGTTCCCCTTTCTCCATAGTTGTGCAGAGTCTATTTTTGAATTAATTGATAAATCAACCATCTTGGATTTCTTTGATACCAAAAGGATCCTTGTCTATATATTAAGATATCCCAATTTGATTAATTGTTGTAGATTTCCATTTTGAAATTTCATCGGTGCATGTTCAATTTTGTTAATGACTTGAAAGAACAATATCACTTGTTTGTGGTATCTGCAGATTTTTAAAAATTCTTTTCGCCGATTCACTGGATAGAAATTTTAATTGATTTAGATTGTTTATTTATATCAAAACAATATAACAGCAATTGTTAGCATAGTTAAAAATTATACTAATGATGAGCTAATGAAGATAATAAATTGGTGGGCGTGAAAATCTCCTCGAGATCTCCTGTATATCTCTTCCATTTCCCAAAGAAGCTTTCCTACAAATTGCTATTTTTATCGCCGAATTTGTTGATCGGAAAGATCGAGTCAGAATAATGCGAATATAGAAATAACATAGCTATTTCGGTACATCTTACGAATTTCATAGATTAAAAAGACAAAATAACAAAAGTCTTGATCAAGAAAATGTCGTGCATTTATATAACAATAACCACATTTTATTAAACCAAACGTTGACTATGTATTACACGCTGATAGCATACTATTACATGTGTAAGCTTTTATAATTAAATCATTTGGAATGCTCCCGAATAGGATTAAGAGAAAAAATAACCTCCATCTGAAATTAGACTAGAGTCACATATATCTGATTTTTAAATTCCTGAAACGCTATAGAGGTTGTTTACGTTTGGGATGAAATTCGCAGTAACTATTACTTTTGACAAATATTTCCATAAAACTATTTCTGACAGTTATAGATTAAAACTGAAATTGAATGGGAAAGACAAGAGCAATAATGTTCAAAGTGAATTAGCTAGGCAAACAACTTATTTTGTTATGTTACATTTTACCCGTTAATCAAAATGATTAATGAAAAGCGTCGGTTGCTGTAACACAAAGATAGCCTTTCAGATTTGTTTTTTTAGAAAAGTGTCGATTGTGTATGGAACCGTGCGTTAAAAGAGATTTAAATGTAAAACTCGTGTAAGCCAGCAGAGTGAAACAAAGAGATTGTGAGTGTATCCACGCTTGAGCAATTCATGTCAAAAGAGAAAGGAAATATTGATAATTAGTCAGGCGATATTCATACCCTATTCCTAGTGTTATCTTCTAATCATCGCTTTGATAAAAATTATAGACCCTTAGTGATGATAATCCACGGTTTTTGTAGCCACAATACCGACAATCCAATCACACATTACTGGCGCATACAGGCCAATAATGACTATAATATGCCAATTATTTCTGTAGCCTACCATATATGGTAATAATAAACATTCTGAATGCAATCGCCGTTTGATTGTTTAGTTATAAAATAGCAAGTGCTTGTCCAATGGTGTCGACTATGATCAAATTATCTCTGCATCATTAGGCGTCAATTTCCTTACAGCATGCCACCAATTACAGTATTACGGTTTTTATTGGATGTGCTGTGTAGCTTACATGAGAAAGTTGTCATTTCTAGCAGGTCAGATTTAACCTTCTCTCTGTGCGTTTATAGAATTGCAATATCAAAATGTGTTAACATACAGCTAGTCTGATCCTTTGGCATTTCTACAGTCCTGATTATCTTCATGCTCCTGCCCGTTACCCAATACAACTATCACTCCCATAGTGTTGACATTCCGTCCTTGGTAATATAGTAAGCGTTGCCTTAATGTGCTTTACGCGGAATATTTAGATGTTTCCATGATTTAAATTAGGTTACAGAAAATTTCCAGAACTTTTACCTTTCAAAATGCAAAATTGCTTTTCGTTTTCTGTAAGACCTATATGAGTGCTCTCGTCACACTTTTATGATTTTATTCGACATAGGTGTAGATGGTCTACCAAAACATTCTATCGGTTTGAGATAAATGCTTGAAGCTGGAGTCGAACCTGCTTTAAGAATATATAGACCCTATTCAGTCAGGTATAGATTATGATAAAAACATGTAATTTATCAATGGTAAGGAAAATAATTTGCTATTGATATTTATATTTTCTATACGAGTGTGAAATTTATCAGTTGATACAATATTTTCTCTATTAAAACAAGTTCATCGTTCTAATGTTTATTACGGAAATTATTTCTCATTCTATTATTACTAATTGTACACATGAACTGTGTTTGAATTGATCAGCGAAAATCATTTTTTGCACGTACTTGTCAAGATTAACGTTTCAACGTATGCAATGCATAGCATTCTTCTTCCGTTGTATTGGTATCAACAAAGCTGCATCATGGAATGACTGTACGATAGTAAAAGTCATACCCAAAGAAACATTTCTCATAATGTTGTAGTAGTTTGATATTGTCGCTTAACTTGCCAATGATTAGATGGTCGGCTAATGGGGAATGAATAATTCCAAACTTCAAACTTCGTTAATAAACGAACCTTTTATATGCCCAGGCTGTCATAACGTTCCAATCGCCGATTATCATTCGTTGATTTTGTTTTGCAGGGTTTAACGTAAACCACCTGGATATCGCCCCCCGATATGCCAGTATCTTGATGGGACTCTCAAATGGTGTCGGAACTCTTGCTGGCATGTTGTGTCCAATCTTCACGGAATTACTCACAAAGGGGGCGGTAAGTAACTAATTGATATTTGTATTGTTTTGTCTTCTCAGAAATATTCATAAAGGGAATGGTAAATATGTAATTCTTAAGTAATATGTGGTCACAAAAAGAAATACTCAAAAAAGCAATTTGGCATGTCAAATCATGGACGAAACACTTACAAAAGGGACTACAGGATGTTTTATCCATTAATACAATATACGAAGGTTACTACCAGGCTCGATTACTCTATAGCTATCACTTATAAATACACATCAGATAGTTTTATTATCTGTTTCTAAGAAAACTATTGATGGAATCAAAGATATCCACACAAATTTGAATGCATATGGAAGAGAAATTTTGTTCGGAGGTGCTTAGAAATTAAAACATGAAAATTCACGTTTTTATGCTGACGATTGAGGGAAAAGGTAGTCTTAAGACATAGCGAGAAAAAAAGATGATATACTTTTATCAGGTCATTACTCTCGCAAATTTAATGTAATATGAATAAAATCATACAACTTTCTCTTCTGAGGTTAGTAAAAGAATGTCATGTTAGCTTTATCAATTCACCATGAAGTCACAATGAATTATTTTAATAAGGAAAACGAGATCTTAAATTTATTAAATTAAAACGCACAACTTGACACCTAATTGCGAAAATATGTTTGAATATGAATAATGTCAGTGTCAATGTAGATAATTATTGAGAAATAAATCCATTCGTTGCCTATTTAATCAAGATAACATTACTTTTGTTGCAAGAAAATATGTTATTTGCTCAATCAAAAGTAAAACCGAAATTTCGTAAGTCGGATCTTTGTCACGGAAGGATTTAAGAATGATCAATTTCATATTTCACTTCTTTTCTCGTCTCGTCTCATTCACAGGCAATTATATCAAAATGTGCATAAAAATCAATTTTGCAGAGATTTTGGAATACATTAGCATGTTTGTGCGTAACAATTTTCTCCACATCCATGCATATATTTCTAACATTTCCGAATCAGGGAAACAAGTAAAATATATATACAAGCTTTACTTTAATCTTATATTCTTTGCTCAGACCGCAGATGAATGGGAGGTCGTCTTCATCATTGCCAGTGTCGTCCATTTTCTTGGTATCACATTTTACGGAATCTTCGCCTCAGGAGAAAAACAACCATGGGCAGAAGCTCCTTCAGAAGATATGTGGAAACCCGAGGACACCCTGAAGTCTGACGGCTCTGGCAAAATGTTTTCTTATGGTGCTTTTGAGGACGACTCAGGAAACAAGGGTGGCGTGGTAGGGGGACCCACTATGAACGGGAAAGCTGGCGTGACTAATGGTCAGATTCCCTACGATTACGGAGACGAATATGAAGGCCCATATAACGCACATGCTAAATATTCGTTTGATGGTCCAATGTATCAGACCAAGGAGGAACTTGTTCAAGTACAAGCAAAGGACAGATATCTGACGGATGAAAGGGATTTATGAAGCTTTCTCTTCTATAGTAAGATCAAATTATAGGTTGTCGTAGAGTTACAAAAGACGGGCGAGCGATTTAAGGACGTTTATAGTGAATATAGTATATATATAAATATGTAAACAGTAGAATTGAATTATTTCATTCTATCAGACGCATAGGTCATCTTTCACAGTAGTTGTTTGATTGAATAAATCCATCGGGTGATTTATTTAATATTATAAACCACCTAGATACTATTATAAGTACGTCATAAATTCCTCAAAATAGTAAATATGATTTGTATGAATCAGGATATTTTAGGAATTGATAATGATTTTAAGCAAACAGAATAATATATTTTTAGAAATCAATTTGACCGATACAGAAGTCGTTGCTAAATGAACTTTAGTTTCACGACCAACATAAAGTCAATGTGCTAGGTGTAGCATCTTTATATACAATCTGGAGGCATATCGAGACCATCAATAAGTAGTTGAAAGGTATTTTGTTATAGTTTTATTTTGTATCATTTTACCATAGTGTTGACAATATGTTTTAAAAAAGAAAACCGTGGCGTGACCTGTGTCAAAGGATTAGGTTTCTAGCAAATAGATGGTAATACAAAAAATCAGTCATACTGTCACATGGTATATTACTCGTAGAAGGATGTTGATGGACTCTGAAGAAACGTTTTGATTAGTGAAACACGAATCATTTATATATTATTGAATAACTGATTGACGTTTTTATTTACATTTGTTATATTTTTACCAGTCAACCGTATATCCACTTTTCATCTTTCCTGATGTCAATGTTATGTAGGTTTGTTGTAGGCATTGTTGACATGTGTAACCTTGTGTCGTCCTGGTGACCTATTAAATAGGCTTTTACCTGTCCGAACATAAAGGATATCCTAGTATATATACCACAATCGAATTCCTGAATTCTACTGATCAAACTTACAATCAGCAGATATTACAATAGGTATATACTTAGTACTGTTATGATTTAACAGTGAGATTGCTGGCTTACAAACATTGGTGTGCAGTATAGAAAACACTCTCTTCTAACATAGCTCCACTCTAATCATATTTGAAAACAGTTAAGAGGAGAAAACTGACAACTGCATATAAATCATTACGGTGACAGGTTCATAACTTTGTAAATATTTACAAATATAAATTTTATCACTTTTTATTTTTCATTTAATTGGTTTTATCAGATGTAAATTTCCCTTTACACAAAAATTTTCGTTTCAACAAAATAAATAATTGAAAATAGTAATTCCCTTGATTTGACGAAATGAAGCATTTATAAAAGTTTTTAAAAAAATAGAAACTATAGAGACTTTATATAGATAAGAAAAATCAGTGAAGTTATTGCACAAACATTTATAGATAAAACACTACCTTTGTAGACACAATAAGTCGTGTATTGGCAACGTTAAACAAAAGGTTAAAGGTTATATTGTTGATAACGATGAAAACTGTTTACGAATGAAGGTGGATTATGTCTACAAAAGAAAATGATGTTTGACTGAACATACTTGACGAGACAAAATTGTTCTAAAACACTAAACAGGAAGACCAGACTTTATTGCAAATTCTTATTGAAATTGATGAACGTTAGACAGTGTGAACAAATCGAGTTTCCTTGTCATGATGTCTGGCTCGCTATATTGGGTACTTATATATAAAACGCGTATGTGTTATATTATTGAATACTGAACGAAATATTGTTTAAACTAATATTCCAAGTATGATATTTTAGATGATTTTTGTGAATACATGAATTAGATTAGTCCCGTTTTGAGATAATGATTCATTCAGGACAACTCTACCGACAAGTCGGCATCATACTGTTTTGATCATATCATTCATTGTCTTTTTGGATTTCATATTATCTACAAGAAAGGGTAGAGAATATTGACAAACGATCTCTGAATGTGTGGTTGTGTATGTCATTTGATACCTGTTAAGATGTTAGTTCTGTAGAATACGATATATTTCATAAAGCGCTGTGTTTTACTGGTTACTTGATGTTAATTTATGTTATATCAGTACTTCATGTTTTAATATTTTTTTCTAAGAAATTAAATGAAAAAAAATATAACAAACATGTTTGTGATACCACAGAGTGATATCCTGTTTATGTTATTAATTCTTTAATTGTATAACAATATACTTACAATATGTTTGTTATTTTGCTACAATTCTGTAATAAATCACTGTTCTATGTAAGTACCATAGGTCTATATGTGTTAGAGAACCTTGTAGTTTGACAAGATATTAAATCAGTTGTATCGGTTATGCAAATATAATTCGATAATTTGACGCATAGATTGTCTTTGTGGTTTTGTTTTACAAGTCATTCAACATCTTTGTCATCCTTCAAGTACAATACAAACACTATGAAATAGATTATACAGAATCTAGAGAATATTGGAGATATTTTGCTGATTTGTTCCAACTCTATCAGTACGTGCTATCGAGCCTTCAGTTGTTGGACCACACTAAAAGTGACGTCAAAGGATCTTTAATTTTTCTCATTTACAGAGATCATGCTATTAGCTGTACTTTCAATTAACTTAAATTCGAAATACCAACAAATGTATTATTTTTGTTGATATTTTACATTATACTAAGATACTAAGGTGTATTCATTAAGACAAGTTAGAATACTGATAGGTATATGAAAAAACCGTGCAGTGGCACTATAATGATAATTAAGTAGGTCAGGCTATGGGTGTATATGCATATAGATTAAGGAAGATACAAAACAAAGCCGGAAAGGTGGGTACAACGTGATTGGGAATGTCAGTATAAAATATGACTTCATATAAATGTCATGATGTCTGAAATGGTAGTGGTTAAGATCAATTATATTTTATAACATTTCAACCATGTTTAATGGGATATATAATTTTAAAACCCACACTAACAAGTCTTCAAAGAAACATAATGTGAAAATATGTTTTCATGAGAAAACATGGATTGAACAGATCACAAAAACCACACAACCTTCTCTAGACGTCCTTTCTACATACTGACGGCGTTGAGTGTTTCCTTGAAATTACTGATTTCTTCTTTCCACATTTCAGCCTTTATTTTCAACACTTCCCTCTTAATTGCGGTTTTGAGTTCCTGAAGGCTGTCACAAACGACGCTGCATTGAGCATTTATGCGATTTTTGTGTCAAGGAAATAAAGAAAATATATATCGATATCTTTACATGTTCATTGCATAACACAAAATGGACACATTTTGCTTCAATTGCTTCAAATATTGCAACAGCAGGTCTAGCACAGAAAATGCCATTAATACTGATGTATTTAGTTGTAAACATTTTTCTTATTACAAGTACTGTCACAATTTTATTCGATTAAGAAAAACATACTGAAATAGTTATTTTGACAACGAAATACGTTCAATTTTAATGGTATTGTTATCTTCTGAGTGTCTCCTGATGTGAAGCAATAAAATAAGTTCATTTATATCGAACCAGTATCATCAGTTGCCTCCGACATATCGTGTGATAAGATGCCTGGTGATTCCCCTAACCAGCCTCTCAAATATCATCCATAACTTGGATGTGTTATTTCTTTAGAAATAGGAAAGAAAAATCAATAAAATTTCTAATCATAGAACTACATATATCACTTACGGTAGCGAGAACGAATCCAAAGGTTATTCTAGACTTTTGCAGGGTTTATTTTCAAGTACCAATACCGAGTACCATTTTTAGTACTAAAGAAAATTTATGACACCGTATTTGCCTGCTTTTCTGAGTTTAAATTCATATATATCTTTTATGTATTTATGCATTTTCCTATTTCCTTTCTTAGATCTTATTGACAATCATTTACCTTGAAATCACTAATTTCTGATTTTTTTCTCTCTTCTGTCCATCTCTTTTTGTGTACATCTGAAGGTCCATAATGCCACTTGTGTCGTTTGTTTCTCTGTCTCTTTATACTCTTTTTATTTCTATGCATGACGATACTAACTTGGATTGACACCTAGTCTTATTCCTTTTGTACTTTTTCAGCAATCTCTATGTAATGTTTTCCTTTGTTCATATTTTGCTCTAGTTTTATAGAATTTGAGTCTGGATAATGATTATCTTGCTCTTTAGTATTTTCTAGGTGTTTTCTGAGCTTTTGACGGCTTGCTTTCCTGTGTGTATAATACGTTCATTATCCCACAATTCCCGATTTCAGTGATTTAACTGTTTGCTACTTGTTGTTTTTTCTGTCTATCACCTTACGACTTGGTACCAAATGTTGGCAAGAGTTCAAATATTACACCGAATTTATTTATCTTTAACACGTGTTTTATAACCTTTCGTTGTTCATATATTTCATATTAAAATAAAAGCGGAACAAAAAAGTGTCAGAACACACATCACTTTAATGGCTTAGTCCCGTTAAGTCATATAAACATGTAAACTTGCGATCTCACAAAATATATTAGCAAAATCAATTAAATTGTATGAGGTCTTCCCAGCATGACTTGTGTACGTTGAAGCCACGAAAATACTTAAATATGCTATCATTTTTTAATGAAACGTCCACAGATAATGATTTTAAATACATTTAGATGGAAGTTGTAAGACAGCTCATATTTAATGAAATATATTCTATTTTAGATATACATTATTTTGAACATGGCATATAGAAGAAGGAAGGCAGTTATTAAACACTAACAAATCCATTCCTATGTGTCCTTTGTAGTGCCAATAAGATTTGAAAGGCTTGATACTAAAGTGGTGCCGGGATTAAATGAGTGAGAATTCAATCGTCAGTATGGTCTCCACCGGAAGCTACTGTCGTGTGTCACCATACAAGAGGATGCTGTCCGGTAACACGTTAAGACGCCTGTTTTGTCATCCCTGAACTAAAAGATTTGGCCGACCAGACACATAGCATATGAACTGCAATGTCGGCTATGGTCGGTTGTTGACCTTCACAACACGGCAGAAACGAAGCAGACATACAAGCAATAACTGATTGATATGAATGATGATTTAT